TGGCGTGTGGCCTACAGAAGGAGGGGGGGTGGGTGGAGATAAAGAAACCCCACATGTGCAGTCTTTTCCAGGATCAGATTCTTCCCAATTCGTTACACGCATGTGTTTACCTTTACACGGAGCTACTCGGGGTTTTTTATTTGCGTGCTACATGTATAGCACCGTGTGTCATGCTGTACTCCTCAGTTGGCTAACTTGCATATTTGCAACACCCTTACTACAAAACACGCAAAAACCAAAAAACCTTAGCTTTATTGCCCATGCAAAGTACCTGCATAGCTGCTCAAGTCTGATGGTTTTGGTGGTCTGGTGCTATACTACAGAGATTTTCCTGAAGACCATGCTGCTACTCTGTGTTAACCTTCAGTTTGATGTGCCCTACATGGGTTTGCTTAGAATGATACATGTTTAGGCATCTCTGACGCAAGAGGAAACATTCCTTTATACTACCTGAAAGAGTGATAGCAAAAGGACTGAAACTTCCCAAGGGCTACTTGGTGGATAGTGCCATGCCACTTGGATGAAATGTGAAAGTTGTGTCAGTGAGTGTAGACAAAAGCAAGGGGTGAGCACTGAGGAGCCTTGTGATAGAGAAGCCAGGATGTGGCACTGGGGCAGCTGAAGAAAGGGCCTTACAGAAATGTTTGGGCTGCCTAGATAAGTGGAGTGGCATGGTTTGTGGGGTTGCGGTGGAGGAAGCTTGATGCAGCGGGTTTTTGAAGTTAAGGCCTCCGGTTGTGCTGGCCACCTCAGTCCTTCCAGTACTCTTGGCAGAAAAGAGCATCTCTCATGTGCAAGTTTTCCAGGAGAAACAAGTGCTGGTGCTGCATGGTAAATGGCAGTTCAAGGTGGCTTTTACACTGAACAATATTAGCCATAGCTGGGAGTACCTGTGGTTTACATCATCCCAACAGAAGTTACCTCCCAAGTCTTTGGTGGATCCTTGATGATAAGTGTGACTTGTGGGGTCAAAACCAGGCTAACATTACAAGAGATCCAGAAATTTTATGTAATACAACAGTCGTTGCCTCTGTTCAGAGATCGGTATTTTCTGCTCTGCTCTGGGCAGCAGTGGCTGTGCAGTTTTTGAATACAGGAGGCACTGTGAGAGCCCTACTGATTTAAATGCCTCCTACTTGCTTGCCAAGTCCTGGGTACAGTGAGTGTCTTTCTGGGTGTCATATACATTCTCTTTCCTTCTAGGTTTTTTTTTCCTGAAGAGAATGGGTTGTAGGGCTACAATTCCCTATTCAAATGGATGTTTTTGAGAGTCCATTGCATGCCATTTATTTTATTAGCTGTACCTTTAACTCCTGGAATGCTTTGTACAATGCTGCTGTTTTGAACACAGTGGGGAAGAAAAAAACAGTTCAATCCTATCAGAGGAATACTTGAGCAACAGTTGATGCCTGCATAGTTGTTTCTTCTGTGTGGACAGATTTATACCTAATTTCATTTTGAAAATAAAATTAGGTCTGTAAATAGATTTATATAACTTGCATTATAGTTAAATGTGTATAATTTTGAGAGAGCTTGAATATAAAATTGACATTTAATCTACAATAATGACACATTTATTGATGCCCTAGTATGGCATCTTTATTGCTTTAATGAAAAGATGCATAACTTTTATATGGGCAATACAACATGATGACTTTTAAGCATCTTGCATAGAACACAGCTATTTTAGTTTGTAAATGAGCATAACTCTGCTGCACAGTGATGGAATGAAACTGTGTGTATCAGTTTTCCAGGAGCAAAATAAAATTGCTGATACAGTAGTGTTTAAAGATGTTATAACATCAGTCAGGAAGTCTGAAAACATGCAATTGGAAGAACTAATGTAAGCGGATTAGGTATGTGGCAGTCTCTGAAATTATTCATTCCTTTAACACCTCTGAATCACAGTACTTAGAGGAAGAGATATTAATTAGATATAGAACTGAAAACAGGGGTCTAAAATGACTATCAAGTACAGATCGTCCTATCCTAGCCTTCAGCCTCTACCACTTTCCTCTAAGCAGGAAAAAGAATTACCAGCGTTTTGTGAAAAATAAGGAAGTGTAGACTGATAGCCTTTCCCTGACAGTGAGATGAATCTGATAGAACTGAGTGTTTTCAGAGTCCCTGTGAGAGACTGCATTACTTAATGGTTTGTCCAAGTTCGGTTCTGTTTAGTTCTTAAATATGAGGAAATGTGTTTAGCTATACAGATAAGTAGGAAGCCATTGTTTAAATGAGGCATTGTTACATCTTAATTGTGTTTGTGTGTGCATGAGTGTATATTTTTTGTTACCAAAAAGGGTATGGTTGAAAACTGCAGTAAAGATGAATTAAAGTCTCTGTTCTTGTAAGAGACTAACACCATATGTGTTAAAATGTTTTACTGTTAGGCAGAACAGGGCATCGTTCTGCAACATCAGAATCACTTTCAGAACACTCCAGGCCTCCTCATTCAATATCTATACATGTCCTAGGTGCAGCTTCCACACTAGATAAATACTGAGGGGTAATTGGGACCCAGCTGTGTTACATTGCCTTGGGTCTGGGATGTTAATGAAAGTGTAATTATGGACAGGGATATAGTTGTCACAGCAGCTTCTCAAAGGGGAAATTGGCTCTTAGTTATTTCTTAAATTTGGGAGTTGGCATTAGTGTGCTTGCTTGCTTACACCAGAATACTGGATAATGGATTACATGTCAATAATGTTTCAATTTAATAGCTGAATATTGAAGGAATATTAATGAAACTGCTTCTTGAAGATGTGGCCGTTTTTGTACTAAAAAGCTGAATGCTCTTCTGAAAGCTGTTCTGCCAAGGATTTTCAGCAGGCCTTAGTCTTAACATTTTCCTGTAGCTTATTCTGTTTCATGTCTCAGAAGTAAACTGGTTATTTCAGGTCGTGAGAAAATCTTAAATTAGGTGTTGTATTTCTTTTTCGAAGTACGGATTAGTATTGGGTTAGACGTGTGGGTGTGTGCGGGGTGTGTTTAGATTATCATGTTACCTGCCATCTCCTTCTTTCTTTTCCAAGATTAAAAAAAAAAAAAAAGGTGCAGGAGTTAGGTGCTACCAATGCTTTACAGTCATCTTGGTGATTTGTGGGTAAGGGTGATTCATCAAATACCCTATATTTAAATATCTTCTATGACTGAATAATAAAAAACACAGAAACAGGACAAGCTCCAAAACAAGAGGCATAATATGTTGTCAAACAAACAGTGTTAACTTTAAAGGATTTTATTTGCAAGTAAGATACATTTTTTAACATCTGCTTTTAATAATAGGGTCCCTTTAAAGCATAAAATTCCCCAAAAGCAGAACACGCAATGAGTTTCATTTTAGGTGGAGCCTGCTGCTTGGCTGGCCGCTCATTGTCGTGGAGTCTAAATATTGCTAGGGGAAACAATTTTTTTTGGTGATGTAGTTAATGCACTAGAGTCTACAGAGGTTTATTCCAGTCCTATAAGAATAAAGAATAGAACCTGCTTGATGTGCATTTACACACCAGTCATACCAGTGCCATAACAGACTGCAATTGCTCTGTCTTCTGCATGCCACCTCCTTTGACAGAGCTGCCATTCGTACTCCTGGTTCCAGGTAGGATTCTTTCAACTCCTGTCTGCTCTCCTGCTCAGACTGCACTCTCCCTAACGTTTTCTTGATTTGATTTTTAAATAACTAGTAACCTGGAACACTTTTCTCCTGTTCTGGTTTTCAGGGTGTGCACAGCCTGTGGAGTTCATGTCAGTGTGCACCTTCTACACTTTTCCTCACAAGTCCAGACAGAGAAGCATTGAATTTTTTGTTCAGCTAGGGGCAAAAAAATCTGTGTAGAGCATCAGGACAAAGTGGTTTTTTTTAAGTTGAGTATTTCTCAAGGAGCATATTAATATGAATTTAGTCATTCCAAAAGTTGTGTAGAAATTGAGTGCTAATGAATAGGCAGTCATGCTGGAGATGAGCTGACTGATGTCAAAGAGAAAGGCATAGTCTGTTGAAGATAACTCCCCTGAGTGTAGCAGGGTGCTAACACTAATCCAAATGCAGCTTTTAATTGCACCAGATTGCTCTTCCTGAAGGCTGAACCCTGTTATCCGTCCAGGCTAGAAGGCGCGGATGCAACTTTCAGTCCTTTTCCAGACCTTGTTTTGCTGTGATTACATGGGATACAGAAGGTCAACTGTCCTCTCTTTTCTTAGTATCTTGCTAAATCCAGCTTGGAGGTCTGCTAGAGGAAATAGGCCATGTCCTGAGAGTTCACGGGGGGGGGGAGAATCATCACGTTAGGAAGTAGTGTCCTTTCCCTGATTCAGCTGATGAGAAGGAGCAAAAAGACTTAATGGCTAAAGTTTGGAAAGATTTAAACGTAGGCTGGTCATCTTTTCTTGCAGCAGCACTAGGGATGTGCCATCTATCTGTGTGGTTGATTTTTTTGTTTTAAAGACAAATGTGGGGGATAAAAGCTCAGTAAAGCTAGTTACAGTCTGCAAAGGGCAGTCTCTTAACCTGTTACTCTCTGCAAAGTATGATCTGGGAAAAGCCTTAAATATGGAAAGTTTTGGCTGGCCTGTGTTATTAGGGTGGGGTGTGAATTAGCTGAGGCACCTCATTGCTTATCCACATGATGTATGTGATGAAGGTCCGATGGGGCCACTGCAACTCCAAAATAGAAACCAGAACTAGACAAATGAAGGAGAACTTTTTCAAATACAGTAAGAACAAATGGATTTTTTCCTGCACTATTCTTCTGCAGAGTTTCCATGTTAGAGGTCATCTCCAGTGATCGCTTAGGCCCTGGCTTGAGCCATTAAGTCCTTGGGAACTTGTGCTGCACAGCTTGTGAATTACTTTTATGCAGCTTTCTCTGTGCCATTTCTTTGGGTTGGGCTTGTGTTTCAGCTTTCAATGGTGATAGACGCATTCAGGATCGTTCAGGAGAGCCTGGACACAGTGCTGGTACTAATAATATTTCTCCCTTCTTTTTCTTTTACTGCAGACCAACGAGTGGAATAAGAATGATGATCGGCTGCTGCAGGCAGTGGAGAATGGCGATCCTGAGAAAGTGGCTTCATTGCTGGGTAAAAAGGGAGCCAGTGCCACGAAACAAGATAGTGAGGGCAAAACTGCGTAAGTCCAAATTAAACTTGTGATTTGAGCACAAGGGCGGGACAAAAACAGACTTGGATGTGTATGCCACTTACATGAATTAAGAATCAGAGACCATCCTGAAAGTGAAGTTTTCTTTTTCATCTGAAGCACAATACATTCTGGAAAGCTCCTTTCTGGTAGTCTCTATTTGTAATTCTACATTTAAAATGCCATTTCAGAATCACAGACCCATTGAGGAAACTTGAAGCTGGATTGCTGGGTAGATTGGGGCCATTTTAGGGCAGGGTATTTTGGGACTCAGGAATTTCGTGGCACACTGCACACTCCAAAAGGCATTAATCTTTGGGGCTATTTTTTCCCATGGACATTAGTTTAATGACATAGAAATTAAGACAAATTTTCTTTCTGGTGGGTTGGTTTGAACTGAAACTATGATGACTGGGTTTTAAAATCTTGCAGATGATAGTGATTTGTGCAACTGTCCCTTGTTTTGGTTGAAGTTTGGCAATCACAGTTTTGTGTGAACGAGATTCTTTTGGCAGTCTCAATATATTTCATACATAGCATTTTCTTCTTTGATTCTTCCTATTCTTCTCCTGTGAACATTCTGAATTGTGGAAGATAAAAGATTCCAATAAGAAAACTACAACCAAGAGTAAGCTATCCTTAAGCTTTCTTTATGGCATAGAAAGATGATTAAATGGATAAATGAGAAATAGGCATCCCATGACAGAACCAAAGCCTTCATAAAATTCTGGATGGATAGGAGTGGAAAGGAAAACAGTTTCTAGGCTTGGGAGAGGCAGTGCAAAGCAGTTTGTACCAAAGAGTAAGTTCTAATGAATTACCTCTGGGTTACATTTATTGAGTCACGCTCTGCTTCTTGCTTGGTCTGTTTGAGTTTCCTACATCTGCTCCATTTCTGTTCTGCATCTGAGGAAACTGAATGATGGCAGTGACTCATAATGACCTGCAACTTCTTACTGCAGAAGTCAAAGTCCTGTAATTTCTTCAAGTGGGTTTTCTCCACACTTTAATATGTTTTTAATTTTAAAGAGTTGCATACACGTGTTTTTCTTTTGAACATAATCAAAGCATGACTTCCATTGAATCTTCTGAATTACAGCTATTTAGCATCTCATGTTTCTACAGTCAACATAACTTCAGAGCTAGATTCTTAAGCTGCACTGTATCCAGGGTAACACCTAGTTTGCAAGTTTCACGTATAATTTGGTACTATGAATTTTTCTAGGAAATTGTCAATGGGTACGTACAAGGCTCTTAACTCTAAGAAATAGGATTGTTGTAACTGTAGGGATCTAGTGCAGTGATTTTCAGCTTTACAGGGATACACTACAAAATTCCCCTTTTTTCTCTTTATTTGCAAATACAAAGAAGTTGATGACCATATATTTATATTAATGATGCTGTTACTGATAATGCAGATACAAGTACTTCTTTTAAGATCAAATGTGAATTAATGGTATGAAGATCTCTGGTTCTGCTTGTTCCATACGTTCATTTAATTGTCATTTACTTTTTTAGTTATTTCTGTGTAGTGGTTTAAAAGAAAGCTTGGGAGAGAACAAAGAAAAATAGTATTGCTGTGGTACAGAAATACAGTGTGTCAACTCTCATTTTGTTTCCAGTGCTTTGGGAAACTTAGCAGGCCTGCTCAGGTTATTGCTGTCTCAGTTTTGAAAGATAGAGACTGACAGGTGTAGAAACAATGACACTGATCTGGAGAGACATAGCTACCAAGGAGTACCATGACCCAGAATGTTCTCCAGTGTGGCTTATTAATAATGGGCAGCATCTTGTTTGCATTTTTCCCACTTCAGAGTCTTTTTATAGTGTGTGCAAAATGAAGTACAGCCATCATTTCTGCATAGGTAGGCTTGTTTCTCCTGTGTTTTCAGTGTGATGCCAGGGCTTCATTCCTGCACGGTGATTCTGGGTGCCTAACACAGCGGGTTTGCCGTATCTCAGAAGCTCTGCTTAGAGGCATAGACCCTGCTGCAGCCCAGCATTGAGGTCTGTTCGTGTCTTGCAGAAGCATGGGACTAGTTCATCAGCTACCTCACCTGTAACGTGAGAGACTCTCATGCTGGGAACACGCGGTCTGGAGAGGTCTTTTGGGGACAACTGGCCACCATCGTGCTCAGATTTCACTGGTTACATTTTAGAAAGTGGTCTGCAGTGCCATGTGGGAAGGCAGCTCTTTGTATGAGTGGTCTATTGATCCCTCTGAGTATATATTGATGCATTTGTTTACATAATTAGGCTGAAGGTGACCGACTAGAAGAACATGATGGATTCAATTATATAACAACGTGCGTAATGTGATTAAAGACTTTGGAATGTGCTTGAAAGCGAAAAAGGAGAAAAAATTACATGTTGCAGTACAGGTTTGTTAGGTCTGTCATTGTCTGTTCCTTTAAGGTGTGACATGTTTCTTTTAAGATCTTTTCTTTTTCATTCTTTTTGTTAATAACCCTGTAAACAAAATTCTCGGTACTGCCCAGACCTTTATTTGAAGCATAGTAATATAGTACATTATTTTAAACAGAAGATGGAGAGGACTCTAATATTTCATGCTTAAAGGGGTGCTTCTCAGTTTTTGTTTTATAATCAAATGGCTTCTTAATATAAAATGCTTGAACTGAGAGGAACAGAGACCAGAACCCAGGATTTTCTCTATTTGTCTTGTTGCGTACTGTATAAATCATTCCACTGAGTCCTGCTACAATGTGCTCCAGTTCTGGCTCAGTTTTGGACATAACCACCTAAATTTCACCTATGTCCTCTTATGCCTCTGTCCTATAAGTCCTTTTCTTTGTGGCTTGCCCACATGCAATAAAATAGAGATGCTTAAATTAATGAGGTCTAGGTACCAGTAAATTTCCTAGAGGTAATATTTACAGATTTTCATCAGGCAGTTTAACTCTCCAGCAGTACCTCTTAAAAAAAGTATTTAAAAATATTGTCAGAGTAATGAAATGAGTTTTTTAAGACTTGTCTGACTTTCCACACCACCACCCTGCCTCTGACTCAGTTCTTTCTATAAACAATAAATCAATTTTAAGGCCGTGGAGCAAATCCACCTTTGGCATAAGTTGACACAGCCCCATTGTTGCTCCCACTTACGCAGCACAGACCATTGCCAAGCACACTTGTAAGAGAACCTATCTGGAAATCTGACTCTGCCATTCTACTCTTTCCGGCTTCCTTAAACAACAACATAGCGCTTTCCAATTTGGAACTTGATCATTTAAACCCACTTAAACTAACAAAAAAGTGTTTTCAAAGAGAGCCTTTTCAGGAGGGGATAGGATTCATTCATGTACTGCACTTTCCACAAGAGCAAGTGTTCAAATGGGCTGTTATTTAAAGAAGCTGCTGCTGTTATTGAAGGGGAGTGTTGGAGGGAGAATTTTGGAAAGGATTCACAATGTATAAATGGCAGCACTTCCTTGTCGTAAAGTTATTTAGTCTGTGTGCCAGTCCATCGCTGCGTGTTTCTGCAAGGTACTGAACTGGAATTAAATGCTTATGGCTATTAAATGAAACAATAGGTCTCTGTAATTTTTTTAACTGCAATTGAATCAGCTGTTGTTTCATAAAATGAGTCTGACAATGGTACAAAAAAGCTTTAGAAACCTCCACAAATGCACTCTTTTAAGGACTCTTTCACACACCTTTTGTCAATAGCAGTTAGTAGAAATTATATATTTTAATTTGAACCAGAATTTTCATGTATTGGAGGCTGAACTGATAATAAATTTTGGAGCATATTCCAACCCCAAATCGTTTATATTTATCATGTACATAGTATCAATTTTTTTTTCTTTCGGATCTTATTGTACAAGGAGGTGGGGCAAGTGGCATAAAGGATATCACTGTTCAAAAACTAAATCAGGTTTTAATTACCTTTGAGAGAGAGTCTTTCCTTGTACGTAACAATATTTATCGTAAAGGAAGCTATTGGAAGAATACACTTACTACAGTTGTTATACTGTTCTAGTTGAGGGAGAAAACCATAGAAAATGGTTTAGACAGACCATCTCCAAAATTGGACAAGTCAGGTAAGCCCAGTGCCTATGAAATGGAAGAATTGTATTATCCTCCTTTTGTTGACTACAAATTGCTATAAATCGTGTAGGACCTTTTAAATTCAGGCCATCTCTACATTATTTTCTTGTGCATGTGTTGGGGGTCCTCAGTCTAAGACCATGCTGTAGAAGATGTTCCTTTTGTACAGATCTGTGTCGTCTCTTAAAATTGCCTAAACACTTAAGTAGAAAAGCATACTAGCATACTGTCTTTTGAAAATTGTTCCAGGGTAGGAGCTACAAGAAAGGTCTAGTGCCTGAGGATTGTCATCTCTCCAGGACTGGAGTTCACTGGTGTTCCAGTGACCTGATATGATCCCTGACAGAAAATATATTTTTAATTTACTTTTATCATGGTGTTTAATTTATGATGGTCCAGATGGTCACAATAATGTCTAGGTTTCAGAGCATGAGCAAAATAAGGAAAACCACAATGATCTTCACCTGTGCTTTATCTCTAGCCAACAGATGGCTGAAATCTGGTTCTTATTCCAAAAATTCTTGTAACGTTTATTTCCTTGGGAGGTTTGGGTGTAAAAGCTTTTGTCTCTCCAAAACTTTCCTGAAGTTTTTTTCAGGTTCAAATCCTATATAATAAAACAAACAAATTCCACTTATTTAAAGAACAAACTCCCTATTTCATATAAAGTTCTTTGAGCACTGAGAAACATCCCAACAGGTTTTGCATCTTACATGCACAGGACTTCCTTCAGATGATAGCTAGAGTTCAAAGGGAAAGCAATGAGTCTGCAATTTCTTCTAGGAGCCAGCTTGCATCTTATGTTTTATACTTGCTTTTTCACACAAGCTGTTAGGATGGCTGTTCTTAATAAACTATTGCATTTCATCATCTGTTAGTAGGGCTGTCACCTCAGAAGAAAGCAAGTCATCTTCTGACGGGCCCCT